GATTACACCAAACAGATAGTTTACTCTTTATGAGCAACTTTGACGGGCCGGCATATTTTTGAGACCATAACACATACCGTATATTTATTTCGAGTGTGATTTATTTTTGACTTATATGTCGTACTCTATTAACATCTTGTTGTAGAGGTGGGTTTATCTAATAATTTGGTTCGTATTGGGATTCGCTCAAAGCAACTGTTTCTAATGGTTCGGACAATCGTGCGTGTCGTTCATCGAAGGTATATGGATTGTCTCGAAAAAAATGCGTGTTGATGTTTGGGAATTTTGAACATTTGTTGGCGTTATTGGAGGATCTTGAGATGTTGTCGGTGGGGACTGGTGTGTGGGTTGTTGATTAGCAATTTTGGGAAAATATCAAAGATTAATTTTTATGAAGAATTTTCATGTTTGTTGTAGTGTTCTTCAATTAAAATAATTAAAAGTAATGTTGCTAATGCGAATTTGATGATTTTCGCTTTTATACTTTTGCACATTGTCATTATGAGGGATGTTTAAAATGTGAAAAAAAAATTATGAAAAGTAGTAAAACATCGCTTCTACTAAATAGATGTTGGTACATTCTGAATGTTGGTAGAAGACTTGAGTAGTCCCTCGGCGGACGCGGTCTCTGAGAAGAAGCTGAGGGACACGGCTGCCATGATTCTAGCGCGATGGAAGACAGCAGCCTACAAGGGTGGCTCCGAAACAAGGAAAGTGGCCGAGGGGGTGAAAGAGATGGAGGCCTCGACGAGTCTGGCAACGGAAGAAGACTTCAGACCTCAGAAGGCAAGCACGAAAAGGGGTTCGACGAGTGGACAAACGTGGGAAGTAGACGTTGGCAAAGAATTGATCTCGAGCGAGCAGCAGGCTATTGGGAAACAAGTGGCCAGCGACCCTCTTGAAAAGAACGCGACGAGGAATACCGCTCGACCTTGGTAGGTGGCTCTGGAGACAATAAAGAAGCAAGAGGACTGTCTGAAGAAACTCGACCATGAAGTGTCCGAAACAGTAAGAAAACAGTCATGACAACAAACAGTATAAACAGTTCAAGTTGTTCATTCCAAGTCATAAAAAATATCCTGGGCGGAATCGGCCGTATTATGTCCAAATAATTCTCGGTAGTTATCCTCGATGGCATATCTACCACGGCATGCATTTATATGGCATCGGATTTTGCTCATGAGGAAATCTCTGTGTTCGTCGAACTTGAGAGATTTGATCAGAGTTCGTTTCTTGCTGGAAACAAATATGATTTTTCCCCCAGTACAGAACCCCAAGATTGATGGCATTCAAAAAGTCCTGAGGTTATACTGCCCAAAAATTTAGATAAACCAATGGCCTTTCTGGTTACTGGTGTAGCTGGAACCAATATGAAAATTTGTCCTGTTTTTTCCTCATCAAGCCAACGCGTTTTTTTATTGCCGAAAATTTCCCAAAAATTTGGCCAATTGGGTGAGTAATATCACTCAGATTGCAGCTAAAATTGTTCTAAAACGACGAACAAGAGAATAAAATAATAAATCTTAAAGGTTTTTGAAAAACAACGAAATTGAAACAAACAGCCACATACCAAAAAATCTTCCTCAGCAAGCTCCGCCAATAAAGAAAGCATTCTCAGAGTGACATCCGTTTTTTCGATGGAACTCATTCCAGCAAATGCTCGTTTCTTCGAATAGTCGAATTTCAAATAATCAACATGAAACTTTTCTCCGGCGCGCAAGATAGTCGATCCTAGCTAAAATCACAAAATAGAATACGGTGTATTAAAAAAAACGGTAAAACAAACTACCTAGCTAAAATCACAAAATAGAATACGCTAAATAAATAGAATACGGTAAAATAAATACCAATGAAATTAAGACTCAGTTGCATCCAGAAATGCAATTTTCAGGATATCAGATGAAATCGATGATCATACAGAAAATAAGGATAGTTGGATGTGATTAATTAGTAGATTAGTTTTACATTTGATTAGTTACTAGACATTTTCACCTGTATTACACCGTTGATGCATGGAGAAAATTTGATGGGAATGTCACTTTCTGGCCACTCAAAATAATCGAGGCGACTCAAAATATCTTCCTGCGGATTTTCCACCTTGTTTGTTTTTTTTGGCCTTGGGCTCTGAGGGTTTTTATTCGGGTCTAGATTTCTCAGCATGCGTAATCATGAATTTATGAAATTTCTCTGGCACTGATTCTCCGGCGACTCGTTTCCTTGACTCGCCTTGTGACTCGTTTCTCAACTCGGAGTACCTAACGTAAAAAATGTCACTGCATGATGGTCCATTCCCCGCAGTATCCTAAGGCTTGTCGACCAAACGAACCTTGCACTGGGACACAAAAGTATCTTTGATGATGACAATCCCTTTTGTGACACTCCCAGCATGTTCAAAAAAGACCATCGAGTCCCCGTGCAGCCGTGTGGTGTTGAAGGGTAGTTTCTCTTTTCTCGAATTACCCCTTCTGCTCAAGTAACATTGTGTTCGTGAAATTTTCTTATATTCAATGCTGTTGCGTTTTTTTTGTCTTCGGGACACTAAAGATGCCACTTCTCGGCCAATCAGACCCTCCAATCGCTGATTAATGATAAAACTACAGTACTTTCCCAGATGGAAGTGACGGCATCGAGGACTTGACATGGATGAAAGACTCTAATATCTGGCTGAACTGAGGAGCGATTGAATTATTGAAATGAAATGAGCCTTGGTTCAAGAACTGACTATTGACAGTTTTCCCTGATAATGACGGCTTTACTGATAAGAACTGCACTGTCTAGTTCCTCTTATCAGTTCATTGTTAATTAGTCGTCTTACCTTTAGGCAGTAATTATAGCATAGATGCTACTGTCATCTGGTGTACTAAAAGAATGGAAAATGTCGAAGCTGTTCCTTGGTGGACTCATAGCTAGATATCCTGGTGTTTCGATTAAACTGGTGCTGATAAGCGATGGGAGCTTTGCCGCTAAATTGGAGTCAGTTCATCCTCATCTTGGGCTCAATATTAGTTGCATCTCTCATTTTTCATCACAATCTAGTAAAAAAAATTAGGGACTCAAAATAAATGTCAGACGCCAAAAACTCATGTTCAGTGCCTTCCAGTTCTCCATCAACATTTGCAGTGCCTTCTAACATCTATGTGCCTCTGTCACCACTCGCAGCACCAGAGACGACATCATTTGCTCCTCCGACACCGGTAATTCCTCTGCGAGCAGTCCTGCGACCTTTTGCCTTGCCAATTCCGCCGATATATGGGAAACCACATACCCCCCTGCGACATGTCCATTCAGGCCCCTCGATGGTACATCAGTGCCAGCCTCAGCAGTGTCAGCCATATCCAGCCTACCTGGTTTCCTACATGTCGGCATCGCCGTATCCGAGTTCTCCATGGCCATCGGATTTTCACCACTATCGAGAGGTTGAAAGACAACCGCATGACCATGAGAGGCAAACCCACACTCCCATAGAACACCGAGTCCATGATCCCACAAAGTTACAAGACCACATGAACGACGAGCCCACAGAAGGGATCATGCACAGCCAGATAATGTAGACGAAACTGTGAGTTGAAGAAACAATTTCACATCACACAAGCCTAAAGGTTTTGGTAAACCAAATACTGAAACTAAATCATATTCAACTTTAGCAACCTGGAAAAGCCTCCTGAGCCGAAAACCCGATATTAAACGAGACTCTCAATGAAGTCATTTTACAGAATGTCCAGAGGTCGAATGGCTGCGCCGATTAAAGAAACGGAACCTTGACCCACAAAGAACAATTGACCTTGTTCAGGGCCATTGTCACGTTTCTGTTCACGAGCACAGGGATGCTCCAGAAAATGATCATCAACACCACGGTACATGCTGTCGTCCTGGCGATTGTCAACATAGAGGAAAAAAGTGAAGACAATACGTGGAGCTGAGCACAGAACCAGCAGCCTGTAAGTATCTTTTTAAACCTAAAACAATGATTTAATAAAAAAACACTGATGACTTGATTTGGCGACTCAATTTTATAGTGTCAACTTCTCGCGTCTCCCAAAAAATTCCAGTCTGACTAGTACAAGGTATGAAATTGTACTATAGAGAGGCCAGAACCCATTTAAAAAGGAGTAATATGAGCTATGTTGTTCAGCGGGCTTTTCGAGACACAAAAAACAATGGTGACGACTCAATTATTTTTCGTCAATTCATTTGGGAACGCGGTGTTCCGGGTTGCTCCACTAGTTGATATGTTCAAACGCCAGGTAGATCAATCGATATAAAATTTCAATGTCTTCCAAAGGTACTTTTATATCAAAATTGAAACTGACGTGGAATCACATGTAATAATTTCGTTTTTCTAGATTAACATCATGAATCTGGAACCGCTGAAGCGTTGTCTCGCACGTAAGGTTGCGAAGCTTATGCCTTTGTCTACCAGCTCTACGTTTGAGATGGAAAAGCTGAAGAGGCAAGCTTCAGAAGTTCACCAGAAATTGGACGGACACACCTAAGAAGAGGTACTGTTAGCAGTGCCATCCCGATGAGATTCTCAACGTTACGTTCGCCAGGTGCAGCGCGCACATATCTTTGTTCAAGAGATGACGACTTCCCATGAGCTGTCAAGTAAAGCTACAAATTTTTACTCAAAGCAGAAGTGGGCAAACCATGACCTGAAGAAGGTGGTTGACCATGTGTCGAAGCTGCCGAATGATGGATCAAAGAGATAGTTTCAGCCGCTTGAGAAAACCAAAAGCCTGACACATACCGCCAACGGCATTGAGAACTTTCCGTATGAGGCTCAGGAAGAGTTGCAGAGTCCTGCATTGACCCAGAGTTAGGTCGGCAAATTTGATGTGATATTTGCCGTCTTTGGAAGAGGTACTTTATAATTTTAATAACTCGATAGTTATCTTAAAATTATAAAGTACCTCCTTAAAAAATATCTTACTAATAAAATTTCATTTTTGAATCAGTTCATTTTTCAATCAGTGCTTTCTTTTTTACTAGGTTTGATTGCTATGCAACCGTTTAAGAAAGATGACGTGTTGGTGGATTACCACAGCAAAGTCGTCACCAACATCAATGCCGACCAGTACTGTCTCCAACCAGGAGTTCTAAGCGAATACGTATTGCAAATTGCGGGTCCTCCTAGGCGACTGATCGACGAATCAAATGAGGAGTGCCCGAAACACAAATTGGTCGTTTGCCTGGGTCGTTCGGCAAACCACGCCACCCAGAAGAAAAACAAGGCCAATATGAAGATGGTGGAAGTTGTACTTTCCATCAGAGGTGAGAGAGTAGTCATCCTAAAAGCCAGGAGAGACATTGCACCTTTTGAGCAATTGCGCTTTGACTATGGAGACAAAGTTGCTCAAGCGTTGTTTGATGAAAGCAGATAAATGGATTTTGGATTTTCTACAAAACTTCAAACTCGTTCCGTTCCGGGTAACGTTTTTATCAGTTTTCGAGAATTCAGTTTTCGATTCTAAATTTTCAATTTATAATAGTGCGTTTGTGTTCTTGATTTCAAATTTTAAACCTGTTCAAATTATGTTCAAATTTACTAAATAAATTTTCTAATAATAAACCCTGAATATATATAATTATGTGCATTTACTAAGCAATTGAGAAAAACGTGATTAGGAATGAATTAACATTAAAAAGTGAATGATCCAAATAAACTGAAAAACCAAAATAGTCGCTTTCAATGAAATGTTTAAAATCTGAAAGAGTGTATCCAGGAATTTAGTTAAGTAGTGGTTTAAGATTTGTTCGTGGATTCCACAGACCGTGCTTAAGTATTTGTTCGTATTTTCTGCCTTCATTGTTCTAGCTAGCCAGTGTTCAAGATGGTTAGTGCTGGATTTCTGCGGAATCAGAGAACAGTTTGTTGAATCAATCAAAACAAACTGTTGCGCTCTAATACAAATGTATTAGTAAATATTACGTGAGATCATAAAAAATCATTTTCGCCCGAAAATGGTTCAAGGCGATTGATGGAAGCTTCAAATTGGTCGACTTATCGACTTAGAGTTTGAGATAATAACATGATTATGATGGATTACGAATGTCTTAATCTAAAGCAACATTAAAAAGAGAATAATCGAACGATGGTCGATATGAAACATACTTAGCACGTATCTAATTAGTCTACTGATTCTACAAACTCTACAAATCGGAAAACGAAGAAATTGGAAAATAGAGTTTTAATGAGTTCAATGAGTTTTAAATGGAATCGGCGTTAATTTTCCAAAGTTTGTTGTACGTCCTGATCGTGTATTATTGAACTGAATGCGCCTCGGGCCGCAGCTGGTATTATTATTTTGTTGTCCAAGAAAAGTAGATCATCTCTGGTGTGCAGGTCCTTCTCATAGTTTTTCATGTAGAATTTCCAGTGGACGTCCTGTCGTCAGTCGTGTGATTAGATCCCATAAGACTTTGTCATCCTTGGTCATTATTTGTAGTAATTTCTTGGAGCAATGCTTTTCTGGTATAATTGGGGAAGAAGGTGAAGATAAGTTAGCTATGTAGCGTTTCATTAAGTTAAAGTGATCATCGTTAAGGTTGTCTGTAAATTTCATGGCAATTTTGTATTCCTCTCGTACGGGGACCGATCGTCTAGCAGACCAATCTGGGACGATTACTAAAGGTTCAGAAATTTTTGATAATGAAGTTCACGTGGTATCAATCTTTTTGGTAGCAAACTATCGTTCAGCGTTATGAAATATAGTAGGGCCCAAAACGAAATGATTTTGTAGTTAAAAAGCGAATTATCTAGCGATAAATAAAAGCTGCAATAATTCTATGATTAAATGAAGTTTAAGAGCTATCGATTCGAATTTGACGAATCACATCGCTTGAATTACTCGTTCCCGACGGAAGAAAATTTTTTACAATTGAGTTTACAGCGACCGACAATCGATCTAATTTTTTTCTAATTAAAACGGTAGAATTTTGAATCAAAATAGCTCTTTTCAATCAAAATTGAAAACGTAAAAGGGTATTTCCACGAACTTAGTTTAGTAATGATTTAAGAAATGATTTAAATAGCTTCAAATTTAAATCTATGACGGCTATGAATTAATTCGAATTTACAATCTCGGGCGGTTACGAAATAATTCTACGATTAGTTGTCACTGTTCTTCCATCATATAGTGAGATTGGAATCAGTTGTTACAATTACAGCTGTTACATAAAATTTTGTTTAGCCCAGTTAAACTAAAATCAACAACATTGTTTAAAATCCCTAGGCAAAATCCAACATTGTTTTATCCCTAAGCATTTTGTTAAATAATTAAGCAATTCAACTAATCGAATCACTTTTGACAGTTTCAATTGGTTGCGTTAAGCCAAAAGCACGACTGTTTTTGACACGGCTACAAAGATTTCAAATTCTAAAAGGGTATATTCACGAACTTAGTTGAGTAATGATTTAAGATTTGTTCTTGGAATCCACAGATGACGGTAGTGTCTTTGTTCGTAAATTCTGCATTCGTTGTTCTAGCTATTTTCATTGTTCAATGCTGGTGGGTTATCAAATTACGGATTTACAAATCAAAATGGCCAATTCATTCAGATCTTTAATTTCATATTTACTTTCTAAAAAGATATATCCAGGAATTTATTTAAGTAATGATTTAAGACTTGTGCGTGGATTCCACAGACAATGGTTAAGTATTTGTTCGTAGTTTCCGCATTCATTGTTCTAGCTAGCATTGTTCAAGCTGGTTAGTGCTGAACTTCTTCGGAATCCGCTAACAGTTTGAGGAATCAATAGAAACAAACTGTTGCACTCTACTACAAATTTATTATTAAATTTTACCTGAGATCATAAAAAACCATTGTCGCCCGAAAATGGTCCAAGGCGGTTGATGGGAGCTTCAAATTGATCGACATATCGACTTAGAAAATGAGATAATAACATGATTATGAATGAATTACGAATGTCTTAATCTAAAGCAATATTAAAAAGAGAATAATCGACCGATGGTCGATATGAAACATACTTAGCACGTATCTAATCAGTGCTTAATTAGCTAAAACTGAGTCTACAAACTCTACAATTCGGAAAATGAAGAAATTGAAAAATAGAGTTTTAATGAGTTCAATGAGTTTAAATGTAATCGGCGTTAATTTTTTCTAAATTTTGTTGTACGTCCTGATCTATCGTCGACGATATTTTGCTCCCGGAATCTTGCTCTGCGACTATGATGGGTGGTTTCCCGTTGGGATACTTCCGCGCTGTCTCAACATACCCCGACTTTGCGAGGGGAATAAGGAGATCAGAAGGTGACTAGCACAAGAAAGCAGCGGCGGTCTGATTGTAGATCTGAGCTGGGTGGCAAAAGGATGCGTTTCTGGATGGCAAAATATTGGGTCGAGAGCGGATCCGAAGGGTGATGGTCCAGGAAGACTGCTGTCTTGAGACGATTCTGAGGAGAATCCAGAATGACGATAACTTCTGTTTATCCACCCAGACCTAACCCTAACCACCCAGACTCTTTTTTGCCCGGAAATGGTACAAGTATGATGTTATTAACGGATGCCAATGAAAAATTAGCGATTTGATGTGCTTGCAAAGTTTCAATTTCGGCCTGAAGTCCCTTCGGCTTAAAGTAGCGTCGGAAGTAGAAGTCCTAGACTCCACGAAAGGACCCCAAGAAAGGCCTCCGACGGGATAGGTAGGGTACACCACTAGCGGCGCTGGTTACTTGAACGTCGTTTTAACACTCAAGTCGTCGAAATTGATCTCTCGTTTGGTTGTGCTGTTTTGAGCTGATAACTATGTGGGCTGAGTTTGTTCAGCTACACCAAGGGGGGTACTTGGGAATCAGTATCTAGAATCTGCGGTGATTTTTCAGCTCTATGTTTCCTTAGAGCCACTATTGCAGAAACCCTACTTTCACCGCTAGTTTGACATTGCTCCATCAAAAGTGGTCGCTTGTCATTGACGTAAATAGTTGAAAAATCACTCCCCGAATGTTGCTGATAACAGTCGGATCAATAACTGAATCAGAGTAAAGAGATTCCACTATAACAACTTGAAATCCTTACCCGCAAACTCACGGCACTGGATGACAGCAGGTGACAGTTGTTTTGCCAGCTCTTTCGTTTGGTTTTTGCCCAGTATCACTAGATTCCAAATCAGTTGTTGACTCGTTTTTAGCTTTTCAGTTTGCTACAGTCATCGTTCCTTTGACCAAATCTTTGTCATCTTTCAGCAGAAGAAAGCAGTTAGGTGTCTTGGAATGTCCCCGAAGAATGGTTTGAGCATTGTCTTTGGTTAGGACAATACCTCCTAAATCATGGATTCATTTCTCCACCATAGCTTGTGGTGCTAGATTCAGTTTTGCTTTCTTTGCCGCAACTGCTGCCGCTGTACATCCGAAAGTACCCAGCACATGAAATCTCAAACCAGAAAGCAGCAGACTAGATGAACGCTTTTCACAGACGGCAATTTCCGGGAATTCTAGATTTTTGACATATTTGTAAATACGACGGGATAGGATTGGTTTCTCCCAAGACGTCTCCCGCAATGTTTAGAAAATTACGTGTGCATTTGCCAGATTTGATTACCTTGCAGAATGAAAAAAAAAAACATTTCGAGGAAAAATGGGTCTTGGTTATGCAATCTTCCTCCGCCTCGCATTTTCCTGCTTTGAAAATCCTTGTTCAAATGGTGGTTGGATTTTTCGAGAGCTTCGCAGAAATTTTCCCTGGGAAATTGTATAAAATTGCTCACCACAAGCTGCGGCATTAAGAGTAATTTTAGTTTGTAGGGAGTGTATCGTTAATCTCCAAAGAAAAGCACTGAAACTTGATAGTAAATTTCAGCCCACTTTTTGTACTCTATAGCGTTACAATCACCTCTTGCTCCTATGAATTGCGTGGATTCATTCAAGCTCTTTCTCAAAAGTTTACTCGCATCTTTAGTGGTGATGCGCCCGAGGGTTTTTCTATGAACTTGAACTTTCGATACGAGACTCGGGTAGTTGGTGTGTAGCAGTTTTACAGACTTAACGTACGTATCTGTATTTTCTTTGGGGCGAGCAACAACTTCTTTTTTCCCTGCTCGTTCGAAGAGATCTTCAATTTCTGCGCTGGCCTAGTTCATTTCTTCCTTGTCGGCAATTACAGTCAGCGCGCAGATTCCAGAAAGAGAGACTGCACCCACTTTTCCAGCTTTGTCTGTTCCTCCTATCAAGACAGTGGTGAAATGAAAACATGGCTTTTTGGCCCACCGTCTGGTCAATTTTTTTGCAAAGCGCTGAATGGCAAATTTTTTGTGAGGATGCATGTCATTAATTTTTGTGTGCCATTTTACGAAGATCTGTTTCCACACATTTAGTAATCATACGGGGGGCATCTGGACAAACGCATCGAATATCTTCGATGCTGA